GTAACTAGTCTGTCCTTGAGCCAGCAACCTTGCTGTGCCACAAATCTTTATCTTACACCAGAGACTTATAGCCTGAGGAGAGTTTCCAGTCTTCCGCAAGGTCAATATTTGAAACCACAAGACTTTGGAAAACCAGGCCCTGTGAAGTACATAATGCTTTTTAGTATATTCCACAATGAACCAAAAAGAAAAGATCAGTAAACTTGACTACATTGATTTAAACTTCTAAGAATCAAAAAATATTTAAATCTGAAGACAGACAAGGTGGGGAAAATATTTGCTGCAAATAAGACTAAATTTAGTTTCCTGCCAGATAAAGAGCTCATCATGGAACAATTAAGCAAATCGGTCCACAGGCCAGTGGCATCAGTAGCCACCGCCAACGGGGTGCTCACAAGGGTCAGGCCCAGCTTGGCACTTTGCATGGTAAACAGACCCTCCAGTAGTCCCTGAGGGACTATTTAACCCATTTTACAGATGAGCCAGTTGACTCAGAGGGTCAGGGTAACTGGCCCTTCACCCTTGGCTACTGAGTGGTGGGGCTGTGACTTATTCACGGACATTTTTGATTGGAAAGCCCCCATGCCCTCAGGAACTAGTCTCGCTGGCCTGTCAAAGGATAGTCCAAGAAATAAAAAGAAAAGACTTCTAAAGCACGGGCAACAACAAAAAGTAGACAAAAGTAGACACATGGTATTACATCAAAGTAAAAAGCTTCTGCTCAGCAAAGGAAACAACAGAGTAAAGAGGCAACCTACAGAATGGGAGAAAATGTTTGCAAACAATTCATCCAACAAGGGATTAATATTCAGAATATACAGGGGACTCAAATAACTCAATAGCATAAAAGCAGATAATCCCATTAAAAGATGGGCAAAAGACCTGAATAGACTTTTTTAAAAGAAGACATACAAATGGTCAACAGGTGTATGAAAAAATGCTCAACATCAGTGATCATCAGGGAAATGCAAATCAAATCCACAATGAGACATCATTTTGCCCCAGTTAGAATATCTATTATCAAATGCTGGTGACAATGAGGAGAAAAGGGGACTCTTATACACTCTTGATGGGAATGTAAATTAGTACAGCCATTATGGGAAACAGTATGAAGGTTCCTCGGAAAACCAAAAATAGGACTACTGTATGATTCAGCAATCTCACTACTGGATGTTAAAGGAAAAGAAATTAACATACCAAAGAGATATCTGCACCCCCATGTTTATGGCAGTACTATTTACAGTAGACAAGATATGGAATCAACGTAAGTGTTCATCAACAAATAGATGAATGGGTAAAGAAAATGTGATGTTTATACACAATGGAATACTAAGACATAAAAAAGAAGGAAATCATATCATTCACGGAAACATGAATGAGCCTGGAGGTTGTTACATTAAGTGAAATGTCAGGCACAAGAAGAGAAATACCACATGTTCTCCTGTGGAAGCTAATAAAAGTGAGCTCATAGAAGTAGAGAGTAGAACTGAGGTTCCTAGAGGCTGGGAAGTGTGGGGGTGCAGATAGAAAAAGGTTGGTTAACAGAGAATTGCAGCTAGACAGGAAGAATTAGTTCAGGTATTTGATAGTAGTGCTAGGTGTCTATAATTAACAATGATTTATTGTATATTTTCAAATGGCTAGAAGAGGAGTTCAAATACTCTCATCCCGAAGAAATTATAAATGTTGGTGTTGATGGATATGCTAGTTAACCTGATTTAATCATCAGACAGTGTATTAAGATGTATTGAAATATTACTCTGTACCCCATAAGTATGTACAATTATTGTGTCAATTTTAAAATAAGAAATAAGGCTTAAAAAAATGTTCAGCCTCAGTATGAAAGACCTGCATATTAAGACAACAGGGTGAGGCCACTGCTTACCTCTGGAATTGGCAAGAAAGAAATTTTGAGAAACATAACCAGTCACAGTCCTGGCTGCCTTGGGTGTTATGAAATGGACAGCTTGCTCTATTCTGGGTAGAAGGGTAAGCTGCGGGAAGAAGAGTTTGATGGTATGTATCCAGAGTCTTAAAAAATGCACCTGACTTTTGGCCTAGTTAGTCATCTACTTCTAGGGTTCCTAAGTGAATAATCAGAAATGTGGACAAAGTATTATGCCCAAAGGTGCTTATATGATTGTTATTTATGTTATCTGAAAGCTTCATACAACTGGAGAGTGTTTACTAGAGTAGTTTAGAATCTGAAAAAATGATATTTACCAAGATTTTAAAATAACCTCTTATAACGTTAATCATCGAAGGGAGGTCAGGAAACAAAACCCAAAATTGTTTACACAGTCTGATTTCAACAGTGTAGCTATACTTAATAACAGTGCAAAGACCATGAAAATGCTGTTATTCTACTAGGATGTAGGCTAATTTTTATTTTATATCTACTCTGTATTTCTAAAAATTTTACATGGATTGTTTTAAAATTTAGAAAAGAAAAAAAAATATTTCCCTTAGATGGTAAGGAGCAGATGGGGTGGGGAGCCATTAGCTGTGGAATTGCAGAAACTAGATGGTGTGACCCCAGATGAAGAGACCCTGCTGAATTTGGGAGGTGCCACCTTCTCAACTAGCCCTGAGAGCCCAGCTCCATCTGCAGCATTTCCGGGGCAGTTCTCGGTGGCATTCTTCTTGCATCCTGGACACCATGCCCTCCAAACAAGCCCTCCCCATGTTTCTCATCAAAAGCCTGCATTCTTAACTTCCCGCATGTTCGTAGCAGGATACCGGGTAAATAAGTCATGCAACGCACCCACTCAGCTGTGCACGCTAGAGCTGTGGGACAGTGCTGACGGAGATGAAGTGCTTTGACCTGGGAAATTTCAAAAACCAGTACCAACACACGGTAATATGTGGAATATGATTATGATTCTTTTTTTTTTTTTTAAACCAGGATCATTTGTAATATAGCATATATGCTCTCTATAAATAATTCAAACATTGCAGTACATGCATGCACATAGTGGTTTTTGGTTTTTGTTTTTCTGAAACAACATACCACAAACTGATAGGATAAACCCTCTGTGTGTCAAAGTAGAGACAAGTTTGTTCTAACTTTTTCTTCACCTTTTCTTTAGCATCCGGATTTTCATAATTAGGAATTTTTATATCTGTGATTAAAAAACAAAAAGCTGTTTCCTTTTGAAGAGGGAAAAGAGAGAGAAAGAGAAGCCAATGAATATCTCTCCTATTTCTTAGGGCTTTGTTTTGTTTTCTCCAGATTTTCTGGAGGAAGGCGTAAATGCAACTTTGCCTTTCCAGGGACGAGCCTCTTTCTTCTAAGTGGCAGATGTGGAACAGGCCCTTCTGGAGTCTCTGCCCCAGGTGCCCCCCTCCCCCCTCTGCCTCCCCCCATGTGAGTGGCCCTGAAGCACAGCACCAAGCAGACCTAAACCTGCGCACTTGCAGGTTGGTGTTCACACAGTAAAGGAGACATTAGTGTTGGTCCCATTTCACACAGAAGGCTCTGGGCAGAGAGGCCACTTGCTGGGAAGCATTCAGGCAATAAGAGTCGGTCACAGTGCCAAGCCCTGTGCTCTGACACCTAGCTGAAGTTGTCGTGCTCTTTGGAGTTCTTGGGCAGTTTGGGCGTTGCAGAGTGGTGGGAAGAAGCCTGGGTTCTGCAGTCAGGTCACGTGGGCTCTGGCAGGACAGCCCCTGACCCGCTGGGTGATAGTAACTATCCTTCCTGTGCCTCAGTGTCATCCTCTGTGAAATGGGAGCTCAGCCTGGCAGAGTGAGCTCTGTGTGCACGTTGGCAGTACGTTGCCACACACACATGCCAGATGTCTCATGTGTCATCGCTTGCGGTACTGGGAGTTCCTTTTGCATGGATAGGGATAAGGTTGCTGAAGTCACCTGCTATATTTGTGACAATGTGTGTATTAATACAGTAGTCTCCCCTTCTCTGTGGTTCACTTTCCTCAGTTTCAGTTACCCGTAGTCCAAAAGTCGGGGAGTACGGTTCAGTAAGATATTTTGAGAGAGAGAGAGAGCACATTCACGTAACTCTTATTACATATGTTACTGTTGTCATTCTATTTTATTGTTAGTTATTGGTGCTCATTTCTTATTGTGCCTAATTTATAAACTAAACTTTATCATAGGTACGTATAGGAAAAACATGGTATATATAATTGGGATTATCCGAACTTTCAAGCATTCATGGGAGTCTTGGAACATATCCCTGGGGGTAAGGGGGGAGTAGTGTAGAAGGTTTTAGAGCAGCTGTCTTGTGCTTTTGGCACAGTTCAAAATCTAATTCCAGAGGTAATACATATGCATTATAAAGATTTCAGAGATTTTATAAATCTTTAAGAGAAAATTGATATCTCCCCACCCCGTTTATCACTGCTAATGTTTTTTATGAACATATAAATATTAAAAGGCACATTTTCCTTTCCTACATTTTAATGTCTCTCATTGGCTTATTATGTTCCCATGAAGATGTTTTCCTAGAATTGTGGGCTTGGGGTCATAATATTGCTGTTTTAAACTTAGTCTAAAGTTTTTGTTCTCGCCCTGATGTCTAAAAAAATGCCACCAAGCTCCTTATGTTTTGTAGAGGAAGACGTTTATAAAACACTCTCTGGATGTTTCGTCTTAGGTAACAGAAATCCCAACGCTTGATTACCAGTAATTGTTGTAGAAAATGCATGTGTTCTGTGGAATGTTAATTATTTATATTCATTGCCGAAGTCCAGCAGTTAACAATAATAATTCTTTTTGAATTGCTATTTAGGGAAAGCTGTTGAAGCCAAAAAACAGGAGTAACTTCCTCTAACTCCCTTGCCATACAGCGTGTACCTTTTCACAGTTAGTTTCCCGTTCACTGTGTATTTTAGACAACTGTCATTTAAAACTAAAAAATAAAATAAATGAATGGAAAGGACGTAAGGAACTTAGGAAAAAAGGAAATGCCAGGGATGGTGGATGTTGGAAAATGTGAAATGTGTCTTTTAACTGGAGTGCTTTTGATGTTGTTGTAGGACAAGGTGGAGCAGACCCCCCACAATCAGCACAACCTGGCAGAACCTGGGGTCCCAGCACAGTCCGCCCGGCTCTCCAATCGCCAAGGTGAGTGATGAGCAGAAACACGGTGGCACTCCTGAGGCAGCTCTGCAGCCGTGCCAGTACCTTATATTCTAGAAAAGAGAAAGATACCTTGTTGTGATATCTTCATGGATTTCCTTTCAGTTAACGGGCTTCAGTGACCAAACTTCACAATATGTCATTTGAGTTACCTAGTATTCACTTAAAGGCAACTTGATTGCATATTGAGGGCTTCTCCACGGTGGAATCCTCTTGACTTTGGCATTTTCATATTTTCAGTCAAGCTGGTTTTGCGTGCATGTGCTCTTGGTGTATCTCTACCTTTCTCTGATTTCTTTTGTTCTATTTATTTTCTCATGGCATCATCTTGGGAAAGAAGGGAGAGGGCCTAAATGGACACAAGGGCTATTTAGTAAATTCAGTCTAACAAGTGGAAGTTCTGATATAGGATGCGGAGTCTGATGGTGGGGTGGAACTGGAAAAATGCACATGGATCACTGGAGAGTGATTATTGGAGAGTTTAAGTGCAAGAAATCATAGGGATTAGAGCCTGATAGGAATTAGAATGATCACATTTTAAAAAATTGCTTAATGAGAGATGACATTCAGCAAAAATAAAAGCTGGAATCTGGCCATGTAATCAAAGAGATGTTTTCTCAAGTATTAGAAGATTTGTAAAAGCAGTCAGGATTTTCAGTGACAAGCATCATTTTCAGTGACAAGCGTCATTTTAGAAAGCTTTAAAAGGAGATGATGCAGAAGAAAGAGCACCAAGCTCTTAGTATTGGCTTTGAAACTTGGAAACTTTTTTAAAAAAATTTATTGATATACAATGTAGTTAATTTTCTTTCCATTTACCAATTCCTCCTTTTAAACTTGGGAAGGTTCTAACTCATTACCCTGTATTGCTTACAAATGATCTAATTTAAACTGAAATACTGTGTCTTGGTATTAATGTTCATATAAAAATCTGTGTTAACAGTTTAATCAGAAAATTAGAGAAAAATCACACTGGAAGGACTTTTTAAAGCTTATCTCTTATCCTTTGTCTTTAAGTTGTACACACTGATGTGCCCTAGACATCTAAGTGGCACCGCTAAGGGAAATTTGCAGCACAGAACGCACGCAGAGTGGGCTTTGAGCAGAGGAGAGCTGAGTCTCTTTCCTGGTATGGAGCTATGCAGCAGGCAGCAGGAGCAGGGCCTCCGGTGATCTCAGCTCCCAAAGCAGGGCCGAAAGGAGTGAATGCACACTCTCCATATTGAACTCAACTGCTACTCAGTGACCCAGAGAGTTCCTACCTTTATGCACACCCGTGACATTGGCCACCTTTCAAACATTCTACACACATAGGGAATAAACAGGAAAACCAGCAGGATTCTGCCTGGCTCAGACACAGGCATTTCCACAGAACAGTGAGTGGTGCCCATATGTGCTGGGCCGCCAGTGGTAGGCAGTTCTGGTCCTGGGGAAGAGTAAGGGCTGAGGATCCCTCTTCCATCAGCAACGGGGGAGCAGGGCCCGAGCCAGGAGCTGAGGTTGGGTTCCCTTGCTCTGGAAAGATGCTGGAAAGAGACTGTTGCCTGGGAGGGACTGCGGTGTGTATGCACTCATGGCCAGGAAGGCAGACAGAGCCAGCACAGCCTTGCAGCCAGAGCTACACTGAGCAGCCTTGTGGCGTAGTGATGCAGCTGCAACCTTCGCGGTCTTCCAGGAGACAGCAGCCTGCCCCAATTCGACCACTCCACAGGGAGGGGTAGGCAGAAAGCATGGTGGAAAAGAAAACCAGAAGAAACCACCCAAAATGAGTCTGCAAACCAACATTCCAAAACTCATGAAGTGATCCTATACTAAGAAATACAGTTCACAAAACCAACAGATTACCTGTTTAACCCATGTATTAGTCCATTTTTGTTGCTTATAACAAAATACCTGGAACTGGGTGACTTATAAAAAAAAACTCATGAAGTGATCCTATACTAAGAAATACAGTTCACAAAACCAACAGATTACCTGTTTAGCCCATGTATTAGTCCATTTTTGTTGCTTATAACAAAATACCTGGAACTGGGTGACTTATAAAAAAACCCAAAATTTATTGCTTACAGTTTCTGAGGCTGGGAAGTCCAAAGTCCAGGGAACACATTTGGTGAAGGCCTTGATGGTGGTGACTTTACAGCGATACAGGGTATCACATAGTAGAAAACGGTGGAGCAGAGAGAGGTTAACCTCCTCATTGACCACCATTATTAATCCATTCACTATGACGTTGGTCCTACAATCTAATCACCTCTTCAAGGCCCCATCTTTCAGTTACCATAATAGGACTTCCCATCCTCAGCAGTCACAGTGGGGATTAAGTTGTGGGGGTTCATTCAACCCAAGGCAGCCAATGGGCAATAAAAATAATTCTGACAAAGCCTTTGAAATAGATGTGCTTACGATGCACATCTAAGACAGAAGGTTGAAAGAATAATGTCTCTAAAACAGGGCAAGAAACTATGAAACACAACAGGAAGAAAAGACACAACAGTAAGAGCAGAACGGTATGAAAGAGTCAGTAAGAAGTTTTGGAAATGAAATATATAGTTATTGACATTTTAAAAAGTGCTGGATTCTGTGTACAGGGGGCTACAGAGCTGGAAGCCAGTCCTAAGGGTGGCGCAGACGTGGAAAGACATAGGGGGCAGTCAGACCAGATGCTTCTGCCGTCTTCAGAGGACAAGCGGGAGGGGGTGACAGAGAGGGAAACTCAGAGACACGGGCCGAGAAGTCCCCAAACCATGCTCAGAGAACTAACAAGAGAAATGAAGGTCAATCTCTGTTTAAAGACTTTCAACACTATTCCAGAAATGGAAGATGAGCAGGAAATCTCAAGGGAAGAAACATTCCTAACACGGGAACAACCACAGGGCTGGTACAGACCCAGGCACAAGAGATGTCAGGAGACTACGCGGTGTACTTCCAAGGCGCCAAGGGAAAATAACTGTCTAGAGTTTTGTACCAGCATGTCATGAAGGCTAAATAAAGCTTTTCAGGCAAATGTGTTACTGGCAATCCTCACTAAAAGAATTATTAAAAGTGGTACTTCAGAGGCTGGCCAGTTAGCTCAGTTGGTTACAGCATGGTGTCGTAACACCAAGGTCAAGGGTTCAGATCCCCATTCTGGCTAGCAGCCAAAAACCAACAAAAAAAGCACACAAAAAATTAAAATAGGTACTTCAGGGAGAAGGCACGTAAATAGGGAGGGAGACGTGGCATAGAAGGGTCAATAATGTGTGCAGAAAATGGTACCATGTTGTGAGTGTTATTCCATTTGTTCAAGTAAGCTTAAACTGAAGCTCCAGGCTATGCATGTCTTTTGGGAGTGGGGGTCACTCAGTGAGTAATTAAATCATAATAAGTCCCCAGTGAGGAGAAGTTAAATGTAGAATAACTTGAGATCATGGTAGAGAAAAAATTTCTTAGTTATGTATTTAAAAAATTAGGTGCAACTAAAACATTGACTGTAATTACTAAGAGAATACGCATATAATCCAAAATTTCTAACCTAGCAGAAAAGAATATAAAGGGAATATATATTTAAAAAAAAAACAACATTAATTAGAAAAGGAAGAAAAAAAGACTTGAAAGAAAAACGATGTCAAACAGAAAATACAAAATAACATAGCAGGAGTGATTCTAAGTATATTCATAACAGTATTAATAGGCTTGAATTAATAGATAGGCAAAGAACTCTGCATCCAACAGTCTCTTGATTCTTTCCTGAAACGTGTAACTTTTTGGAAAGTCAACCATGTATGGAAAATTGCACTAAACTTTAAGCAATCTGTTTCATGTAAGCCATGTTCTTTGACCCAGTGTGATTAAATCAAAAGAAAACATGTAAACATGTGTGGAAACTTTAAAACATACCCTTATTTCACTCGTGGATTAGAGGAAGTTGTAATGAAAATATCAATCATTTAGAACTCAATGGAAATGGATGTACTATAGGTTGAAAGTCGTATAATGCTGCTGAAGTGGTATGTAAGACTAAATACCTAAGCTTCAAAAAGAAGGAAGATTGAAATTAGAAAAATGAAAATTTTATTACTCTAAGGAGTATAGAAGGAAGTAATTATAAAAATTAAAATCGGAAACTGTTGGAATACAGTTTCAATAGATAGGAATAACTCAAAAATCAGTCTTTGATGAAAACTACCATAGCAGCAGAAGTCTAGCACAGACACGTAGGAGGAAAAGGCACACAAGAAAACCACAGCTCCTTATGTACAGTATGGTGCAGTAGAGTTTTAAAAACAACCACAACAAATAAACCGTGAACAATAAGTGTAAAAATATGGGGGAAATGGATAATTTGCTGCAAAAATGTAAAAGCAAAATCGACTCTTGAAGAAATGTAAAATCTTAATAAAGAAATAACTCTGGAAGAAATGGATTCAGTTATCAATACTGTCCCCTCCAGAATGCTCAGGTAGTTTTGCAGATGAGTGTCATTGATACTTGCAAGGGACAAGTAACTTCTCTCTTTATATAAACTGTTGAGGGGGGAGACAGAGGACAAGAGCTCTCCCACTCTCGTGTTTGTGTAGCTTTGAAACAGTACAAGAAATTAGATTTATAGACCCATTTCACATGTTAACATACAACCAAAAAATCTAAGTAAAATACTAATCAAACTTAGCAGTTTATCCTAAATGAAATACAGAACAAATGTTATGACCAAGTTGGATTTATTATAATAATGCAAGCATGGTTTATCATCATAAGACTGTGAACAGGTGCAACGTGTTAAATGATCAAAGAAAAAAAAAGATCATCTCAACAGATAGAAAAAGAACATTTTAATATGATTCTGCCTCATTATAATACATAAAAAACAATGACGACAAAACTGTTACCATACCAGTACTGAAAAGAAACGTTCTTAACTTAATAAAGTGCCTTTGTCAAAAACCTACAGCGAGTATCATACATAGTGGAGAAATGTTAAAGTTGTGTCCATGGAAGTCCAGAATTAG